CCGAAGATGTTGCCGCAAAAAAAAAAAAAAAAAAAAAAAACGCAAAGGAACGGGGCCCTGCATTGACAGCAAGATGCGCTGTCGGAGCCTGTCCATCCCTTCCTACTGCTTACTTGTATGTCTTGCCTCGGTCACCGAGGTCGCCGGTTCGAATCGGTGCTTGCACGGCGGACGTCTTAGGCCCAGACGTATGGATCCATACCTACAATTGGTCCCTGGGCCCTTCAGTAATATATAGTTTTTGTAAATTTGTGACCTTTTTACAACATTGGGAAAAAAAAAAAAAAAGGATCAGGGGCTGGGTCCCACTAGCAGCGCTGGGCCCTTCATTTTCGATTCTCAAGTTTGCCTGAGCAATGTACGCGCAGCTTTAAAAACATTTTTTTTAATTTGGTTTTCTAAATTCATTTCACTGGTTCTGATTTTTTTTTTAAGTCCCTGAAAGTGTGCCACGTCCTTTAGTTACGTAAATTCAAGGGTCCTAGTGGGGGACCCGACACCAGGGGCAAGGTCCCACTAGCAAAGTGGATTGGATGAAACACCCCAGAATCTGGATGTGTTTTAGGCAGAGATGCAGAAAAGCAGATCAATCGTGATATATATTCCTAATTGCTGCACAAACACGTCCAGATTTGGTTGTTGAACCCAAGCCTCTTTGTTAGTGGGACCCAGCGCCAGATATGGCTCCACCTTTAACACCGTGTCCTGGCTGTAGTGGTGGTTACGAGACTTGGCTCTTGAGGCGGCCGAGGAGGTCGCCGGTTCGAATCTGTGTGCTTGCACGGAGGAGGGGGGCTTTGGCCCCAAATGGACGGATCCATAACTACCTGCCCTTTTATTACGAAAGGAAGAAAATAAGCCATAACTACCTGGCATTTTTTTTAATTTTTTTTGGGGAAATAGTAGGGAGTCCTATATTCAAAGTTGAAAAACTACCTGGCATTATCCCCTGTGGCAGCTTTTTTTTTCCTCTTTTTTTTAAACAAGAAGGGCGATGGCCTTGAGATGTCATCTTCAAACTGACCCACTACATCAGACTATTCCATTATGAATTTCATAACCTACCATATCAGGATCACAATCCGTAGTGATTGGGTTTGGAGGTCTAATAATAGAGGGAGTATGGTCAAAGTTAGGAAATGGTTCTGGGATACCTGGGGTAGAGAATCCAGATTAGTTAAGCTTACTCCAGAGGGCAGGCTGTGCTTTTCGCCCTGGCTTCTCTCCACAGCAGGTCATGGAGAGCGTTGTAACTCCCCCCCCACCCTGACAGAAGAACCAGAATGGAGCAGTTTTTGATTTGGAGAATGGAATGTTTCCCATTCTAGTGATCAGAAGTCACTTTGACTTTTCAGAGGCACCCCTAATCCTTTCCTTTCTTTTTTCTATTTTTTTTGGGGGGAACTCTTTCGTTGAGGGACACTGGACCCTGTTTCCAGGAGCCTAAAGCTGGGTAAGGGCCCGAGCATGTCTTTGTACCGGGTT